GGGATGTGCATTTGGCGGTGAAATATTGCCCTAAGGTGACTTCAGCAAGCTATTACAGGTTATGGGCGCCTCAGCCTCCTCATCTTTCAGAATGATAGGCAGATTTGTTCCAGAAGTACACAGCTTTAATTTTCTCAGTAGGACTTATTTCCCCATGTTCTTAGCTAAGATGAACTTAATTCCTCCCAGCTCCCCAGGTTCCTATTGGAGTCAAGATCTGGAGTAGGGATCAAGCCCAAAACTTCAATCATCACACACACTTTGGGAAATGGAGTGTTCCCTATATTCCAGTGATTTCAAGGGGCCTTCAACAAATCTCAGATTAGGCTAAAGAACAAATAGCTGAGACTTGAACTTTTAGTTTTCTAACCTGAGCTTAAGAACGTCAAACAATCGGTCTAGGGCCATACCATCCTGGACACACCCCATCTCGTTCAATCTGGGAAGCTCAGCAGGGTCGGGCCTGATTAGTACTTGGATAGGAGAACATCAAACCACCAGAAAAGATATAAAGAACAATTCTTCTGTGTTCACTGTTAGGTACTGAATTGAGGTAAAACCTGGTCTTTCCTTCTTTAATTATGGAGAGTGAAACTGGAAAGCTTGGCCAATGGTAGCTTCTCCCCAGAATTTGGTTTAAGAGTCATGACATCAACTTCCAAGGCTGTTTGTTTTGTTCTTTTTTTTTTTTTTTTTTTTAAGATTATACTATGGTCTATTCTTTGGGAAAGAACTGGTGTTGGTTTATTTAAAAAAAAAAAAAAAAGCATAGTTTACAATTCTGGGTTGAGTTTCCAGGGTGTTCCTCAAGTCTGGGTCTCAGCTGTTTCTTGAGCCTGAGCTAAGAGTTTTGTTGAATGCTTACTGAAATCATTCAAATAAAGGGAAAACTCCATTTCCCAAACTGCCTGTTACACTTGAAGGTTTGATTATGTTTGAGCCCTACCCTCAATCCTGTCTATGATGAGTGCAAGACAACCACAGAGGTCCTGAGAAGGCACTTCCCAGATCACTAGATTAAGAACTTTACAGGGCTCCTAGGTGGCCCCGTTGGTTAATCATCTGCCTTTGGCTCGGGCTGTGATCCTGGGGTCCTGGGCTCTCTGCTCAGCGAGGAGCCTGCTTCTCCCTCTCCCTTTGCCTGCTGCTCTGTCTGCTTGGGTACTCTCTCTCTCTCGCTGTCAAATAAATAAATAAATAAATAAAAATCTTTAAGAACTTTACAACTTGCAAGTGAGAATCGGCCCTGTAGAAGAGAGAAAAAGAAATTGCGAGAAGAACTGACAGATAAAACCCACCAAAGACAAGGCCTTTATTACAGGTAGCAGGACAACACAGAAGGGATGTCCTCAGTGCTTTCTGCAGATTCTGAACAAAAAATGTTTACCTGTAATACTGCTCTCCCACTCCACTCACCTGTTGGACATATCTACCCTAGTCTAAGAGAGAAAAACCTGACTTCAAAGCACATGTCCTAGGACCCCCTATCGGCTCTGATAATCAGTGTACCAAGAGATGGAACAGTTCACCAGTTCATGCATGCTAATGCTCTTTTATGGAGAGGGTGGAAAATGGGGGCGAGTGGCAATTTAGGGAAGAAGGGGGAAGAGAACAAAGGGCCGCAGACACAGCAAAGTCAAACTGAATGGAACAGGCAGTCCTCCTTTTAACTTCTCTAAAAGTACAGTCTGGGTTGCTGGGGGTGAACCAGTTAGCTTCTTCTGCTTTTTCTTCCCCTCATACTCTTTAAAGCTTCCCTGATCAGTCCCCAGACTCATTTGGGCCCTAATTGGGCTGGTTTCAGTAACTATGGGGTTGACCAAGGACTAGGCCTCTTGTTCCCTCCTGAAAGACTCAGTGGTCATGTGTTACAGTTTCTAACCCTCACAAAGTATGCCTCTGGTCACATGAATGGATCAAAGCAAATCCATTTGCATTCTCGGAAAAGCAGCTCAAAGCACGCGTTTTCTTGATGGTGCCGCTGTCATTTCTGTGGATCAACAAACATCACTTATTGAACACTCACTCTGGACACAATTGGGGAATAGAAAGATGGGTCAGTTGCTCAAGGAGGTGAAGATACCTAGCAAGTGAAGCAGGTCCTCACACGGCAAAATAAAATACCAGAAGTTTTAAAAACTGCACTTGCTTCCTCCTATCCCATTTTCTATTATGTTTGCCCCGTGCATCTCAGATGCTGGTGGTGATGAGCGCAGTAGAAGGCTCTGGTTTACGCTGAGGCAGTTGGGCATCTAAAACTCCCATCTCCCCCACTTCCCCTTGTCAACTCAAGACTGAGTCAGAAAGTTGTACTTCATGGGTTGTTATGGGGAAAGAAAAAGAATCCAATCTCTTTGGACTACCTTGACCCATAATAACTACAATTACTGTTTTCTAAGTTTACTATATGCATCTAGTGTATATGTTTATCAGATGGAATCCTTACTATATACAAATTAACTCTTATCCCTATTCGGTAGGCAAGAAAACGGTGGTTTCATGTGGCTAAGAAAGCTAACACAAAGCTGTAAGAAGTGAAGTCCAGATTTGAACCCGTGTTTGTACGACCTGAAGCCTAGCCTTTAACCACATCATAATACTTCAACATATAGCACCAAAACTTAAGATGGACTCTCTTACGTTTGCAAGGAACCTTTACCCAATGCAGAATGTCACCTGTCTGAAATATATCAAAATCCCGTTTGAGGTGAAAGATGCATCTGTCACTTAAAAGCACTACAGTGTCAGACACTCTGGAATGGAAGGATGTTGACCAAAGAAGCCAAGTTATGTGTGTGCGGTCACAGGCAATATTTCTTTTCCATATTTGTGGTACGAAAGATAACCACAAGAACAAACTTCTTCCCTTCCTCTTCCAAAGGCAATGAAGCCTGACTTGGTCTTCAAACAGAACAATTTCCAAGTCTCAAATACTGGGGCTCCTGAAAGATGCAATAAAGACTAGACACTATCAGGTGTATTTCAGGCAATAAAAATAGATACTCAAGCAAGGGCACTGGTAGCAATGAAAATATCGTATGTGTGCGTGTGTTGTGTGTGTGTCTCTATATAGACCATTGAGTTATTATGCATCTGTTGACAAGCATCCACTTCAAGATTGTGTTCACATACACATTTTCTCAACCATCATAGCAAGGCTGAGAGGAGGAAGGGGTAACTGATTCTAATTTTCCAGATTAAAAAGAAGGCACAATAAGTTACTTGGAAAGCAAAACAAAGCATTATTTTCCAAAAATTCTAAAATTTTGACGTACCCTGGGCTTCAAAGGGGGCATGCGAAGACCTCACTTTTCTTTCAGCTGCCCTTGGGAAACAGTTTGCACACAGAATTTCAAATGTGGTGGGCGGCTCTAAAGGTCCTCTCTCCAAAGGCTTTATTTGCAGATGAGGAAGCCTGGGCCCAGACAGTCGCTGAGAGACGTGTCTCGGGAGTGACAGAGGCGAAATCTGACAGGTCTCCTGACTGTTCCTATGCCGGCCAGGATCCTCTCTATGGCAGGACCTAAGCACAGCATGTTGATTACTGATGTGATACCGCAGACTGCCGTTCCCTTCCCCAGTCCCGCCGTGAGGGCGGGCGGGCGCGCCACAGGCCCACCTCGGGCAGCCCCCTGGGTGCCCCGCCACCGCCCCGGCCGCGGCCCCCCCTTCCCGCACCGCGCCTCAAACCAGACGCGAGCGCCGAGGAGGTCTGGAGGTTCTCTAACAACAAAAGGCAAAATTACGTTTCCGGGGATCAGAATGTCCTTAGGGAGCCTTGGGGTCTGCAGTACGACCTCGAAAAAGAGAGGCCTCTCCTGCAAAACTATCCAACCTGAAGGCGGCAGGGGTGGAGGCCGGGCGGTCTGCTGGGCGCCCCGCTCCGGCCCGGGGGTGGGGGCTTGAGGGGACGACCCCAGGCCCGCGGTCGGCCCGCAGAGGCGAGCGGCAGCCGGGGCAGGCGGGGTCCTTCCTGCCAGGAACTCGCCCGTCGGCGCGCGGCGGGCCAGCCCTTCCTCTGCTCCCCTCCCCCCGCACGCCCCCTCCCCCCGCCCCAGGCCCTTTCCCTTTCTTTCTTTCCCGGCCCTCGCGCCCCCTCCCCGACGGCGCCCGCTCGGCCGCTCGCCCAATGGCAGCCGGGCCCCGGCGCGCATCAGCCGATCCGCCCCGGCTCCCGGCCGCTGGGAGCCAATCAGGGCGCCGGGGGCGGCCCGGGCCGCCGATAAAGAGTGCGGGGCGCCGAGCAGCCCCGCAGAGCCGAGAATGGGAGAAGAGTGGAGCTTCTGAGCAGCACACCCGCCTACTCTCCTCGCCGCACCTCGCTCTCGAGGCCTGCCCGCCCTGCCGCCTGTTCGCCGCCCAGGTAAGCGCGCCGCCGGCCCAGGGGCTCGAAGTGGTGCGCGCCGCCCCTGCAGCCCGCCACCCCCCCCGAACCTCCCGACCCCGGCCTGCGGACCCCGTGGCTCGGGGCAGCCCCTTGCACCTCCTGCCCCTACGGAGCTCCTCTGCCCCCAAGCCCTCCGCGTGCTTTCGCCGTCCCCGGCTCCCGGAGGCTCTGGGCTGGTGATTGTGGGGTGCGCTGATCGCCAGGCTTGGAGGAGGGCGGGGAGTTGTTTTGATCTTTCTCTCGCTGCTCGCGGCCCTAAGCGCCGCCCCTGGAGGTCGCTCAGCGAGGCGAACGGTGGAGCCACTGCTCGGCCCAGCGCTCCCAGCTCGGCGGTGTTGTGTGCCTGCGGATGGAGTGGCTGGGTGGCCCCACGGGAGCCTCGCTCTCCTGCTCTGCGGTGGCGGGCCTTGGGGGATCGTCGTGGTCTTGAGGATCTCTAGACGCCTATACTGAGGCGAGTGGCCGTGAGCGTCGCTAGTACGGGCCGCTGCTGCGCGGGGTCCCGGGGGCCTTGCACTGTGACTGAACAATGGGGAGCCCGAGCTGCGGCTTGGCCAGCGGGCGGAGAGGCCGGGCCGGGCCGAGGCAGCGGCGGTGCGCTGTCTCCCCGCCCCCCCCCTCCCTGACTCCCCGACTCCCTCCCAGCCTCTGCCCTCGGAGGGGTATGGCTCCTTCGGCCAGACCTTGAGATCCGGACGGGGGCCCGAGGGGCGGGGCGCCGACTTTAGGGACATTTCAGTGGGAAAGGGCTACCCTCAAAGTGGATTATCCCAACTGCCCGGGGGGCGGGAAGCGGGGAACCCCCCCCAGCCGCAAATCCGCCAAGACCACAAACAATGAAGATGAAGACGACGTGGAGTCGCGGTCCTCGGAGTCCCCCTCCAACTGCTTCGGCTTCGTCGCCTACTCGATGAACTCCGGAGAGAAATCACGAGTCAATATTAAGACCGTGACCCACCAGCCCTCGTATTCCTCCTCGTCCCGATGCGATCCCGAACGCTCCCTGACCCCCTCTCCGTCTCCCTCGCCCAGAAAGCTCCGGTGCATGGACCAGCGAGAGCCGGAGAACCAGGAGAGGCGCGAACGCACCTCCAAAAGGAGAAGGGCCAGGGAGGGCTACCCCAGCGATCCGATTGACCTTCTGTGGCTGGGGTGAGTGAAGAGACAGGGAGGAAGACCCCGGAGCCGGCGACAGCTGCAGAAACAGAAAATGCAGAACCCCATTTGTACCCTACATAAACTCAGGGCAATGGGTTACCAGCCGGTAACAGTAGACTAGAATGTTGGCATCCAACTCATCTCACGGAAAAGAGCAGGAAGCCTGGAACTGAGGCTTAAAGGGATAAAGTGTGGCTTGATGTTGTTGGTGTTAACAGGTTGGGGAGGAAGGCCAGAGACTGGGTTGTAGACTTTTTAGGGGGACCTGAGGGGGTCAGGTGTTGTTCTTTCTGGCCTTTAAAGGCGGGGGTGGGGGAGGGTTGGGGGGCAATGCGTGACCGAGACCTCTGCACGCCTGGTATGCAAAGGGATATGGAAAAGGACCGGTTCAGCAATGCAGTGCGGGAGATCAGACGGTGGAGGTTCTGCTCTTCCCCAAGGGAAGGGGTGAGGCTCCTGGAGGGAGAAGCAGTTCTCTTTTCAGCTGGGCAAACATGGACGGTTGCCCATAGAAACTTAGCCACTGTACTTCAGAAAGTTGCCCAAGTCGTTGGGGAACAAAGTGTTCCGTTTCCATCCACTCTGGGCCACTGAGCTGGGGGGGTGGGGTACAACATTTCCTCTTGTGTTGGGTTTCTCTTCTTTCAGAGGTTTTGTGGCAGTGGCTTGCAGTTTTTAGCGTGCTTCAGCTTTTGAAAACCCAGATCTTTTTGTTAACAGAAGTGGGAATTTCCTCATTAAAGTTCTCTGGAATCTGAGAATGTCCATTGCAAATGTAAATCTGCCTTCCTAAGTGAGAAGACCAATGGAAATGTTGGCAGTGTGCATCTTAGAATCCAACGTAGATCAGATCTTTTGATACCTTGGGGATTTGTAATGACTGCCCTGCTCTTAGGAAGCCCATCAGCCTTTTGAATCTTCTAGCTGGCCCCCTTGTTTCTTCTTCCTACTGTCTCAGTGTGTGGGGTGCTTTTGGGAGAGGTGGAGGAATCTCCAAAAAGGGTTTTTCACAGAGGTGCTGGCTAGGATGCAAGGAAAAGACAAGACTGACCCAGACACCATAAGCAGCCAAGCTTTTCTGTGGCTGAATTTTACTCGTATTGGGAGAGAGCTACCTTCTGTAAATGCTCTCTTTCTGAACTTCAGTGTTTTGCCCATAAAACACTATATAAAAAATAAAACACTTCCCCTACCTTGGCTACACTGAGAAAATAGAGCTTAGTCCTCACAAGGGTGGATTCTAGCTCGAGGAAGCCTAGAGGGAGATTTTTGTCTAATATAAAAACTTAAATCCCTCTGAAAGCAGCATGAGTTAACTATACCCTGGAGAGTGTGGCTTCCAAAGGGAGGGGACGACGTTCCCATTGTGACTTTTTGCTTTAATTGTCCTCACTGAGTCATTCCTGCAGAGGATCAGTTTGGAGTCGGTTATCATTGTTTGGTTGGTTCTTCTCCGCAGAACACCGTCCACCATGGCCACCTCCGCGAGCTCCCACCTGAACAAAGGCATCAAGCAGTTGTACATGTCCCTGCCTCAGGGTGAGAAAGTGCAAGCTATGTATATTTGGATTGACGGGACCGGAGAAGGATTACGTTGCAAGACCCGGACCTTGGACAGTGAGCCCAAGTGTATAGAAGGTGAGAGACCAAGCAGAGTGGGAGCCATGTGGGGGTGGGAGCAGCCTGAAACCCAGCCACTTTAGATTTAGATTTGGCCACTTTATTATTCTGTTTGTCAAGCTTTCCTAAGGCAGGGTTTCTCAGACTTGAGTCGACGTTAAGCTCCTCCACTGCATCAAAGCATAGCAACAATAGACCCCTTTATTTCAATAGAATCTTCCATGCAAGCCAGTATATTGAAGAAAAAAGATTGAAAGTCTAGTTGGGGCAGGAGGGGGGGCCGGAGACTTTGCTGACTTGGGCATCCCTGCTTAGTTGGCTCTAAGGCATCCGCAAGATCCCAGTTTGAAAACCACTGCTCTACCCTGACTGTGCTATCTGCTTCACAAACTCTTTGGATGCTGTTTCATGTTCCTATCAGTGAGGTTCTAGATGCAAAGCAGACTCTGTAAAGTGGTTTCTAAATAGGACTGGCCGTTACATTTGTTTCTAGTTGATTCTACTTTTGGAAATTCTTAAGCCACCTGATTGCTTATCACACTAGGAGCTCTTATATAAGTTGTGACCTTCAGTTTTCAGTCTAGAGCAAGCCATAGCCCTCCTCCTTCTGGAAGGGGACCAGAGAAGAAATATCACCTCTCACCTACTTTTCAGATGGCTTACTCTTCTGATAGTATTTGCACTGGAGTGAATGCATGACCATAAAATAAAGTATATAGTGTGTACCTGCTGTGTAGCAGATCTTAGACAGGAATTGGGTGGGGGGGGGTACAAGGTAAGAGTCTGGTCTCTCTGCCTTCAGAGAACTCATAGTCAGCTTGAGAGATGAAGAAACCCACCTTTAAAACATAGTGGGGAAAGTGGATAAGTGATAATGGGAGCACCCTTGACTAAGTTACCCTGCTAGTTGTCCCATTTCCTCATCTATAGAATAAGGACATAACTTGAGCTAGAACAGTCCCTAGATGCAGTGGGAGTGAATTGAAGAAGCAACACAGGTGGCCTAGTAGGGGAATCAGAATCTGTTTCTCCTATTCTCATTTTTTAAATGATGACTGACTTCCTGATTATGTCAGAATATTTCAGTTTGTCTCCTTGGTGTCTAGTAGATGGACTTAGGGAAGATACATCAGTCACTCTCAGGCTGTTTTTGTGACTGTCATTTTCTTAAGGAATTGATGCAGTGGTCTTACTTGCCTCTCACATAGGACATTAAAGCTATGTGCAGTTGTCAAGAATTTGCATGTGAATAGCAGGAGTCATGCATCTCTGACTTTCTGGAAAGAAAGTGTAGCTCTGTAGACATGGAAAGGTTAAGTAAGGGGCTGTACTCTTGCCTGAAAAGCTCTGCATTTTTAACTTAATTTTCCCTTTTCTTTTTCCCCCAGAGTTGCCTGAGTGGAATTTTGATGGCTCTAGTACCTTTCAGTCTGAAGGCTCCAATAGTGACATGTATCTTGTCCCTGCTGCCATGTTTCGGGACCCTTTCCGCAAGGACCCCAACAAGCTGGTGTTCTGTGAAGTCTTCAAGTACAACCGGAAGCCTGCAGGTGTGTATAGGATAGGTATGGCTCCTCAATCCATGAATGTTGTAAAGGGGAAGGACAGGAGATTCCAAAATTGGTCCTGGGAACGCTGGACTAGACTATCTCATGTTTCAGAACTGTTTCAGGAGTCTGGGCGATTGGACATGGCATCTCCACTCCACAAATTTCCTCAGAGAGGTAGTGTGGTCCATCTACCCATAGTTTCCTATTGGTTGTATAAAACAACAGTGTATTCCTTTAAATCTGTCTACCAGTAGTGTTCCCCGTGACACAGCCCTTCCCACCTGCCTCTAGATTTAAAAAACATGGATTCTGAAGTCGGAATGATGGGTTTGAATTCTGGATCTGTCACTTAACTGGCTATGAACCTTGGCAAGTTATTTATCCCCTGTCCTCAGTTTCCCTGATTTTAAAAGAGGGGAGGGGGAATAAAATCCATCTCCTGTCTGGGCTCACTGATAACCTACATGTGCCTCAGGGTTCACTGTAACTGCATTTTTGGTTTTTGCCTGGTGTGGCCGTTGATCCTGATTCTCTTGCTGTTCATGTTTTTCTCTCAGTGGAAGTGCCCCCCACCCTCCCCGCTATTTAGTCTCTTGCTACACTCTGCCAGTGTGAACTTGCAACGAGTCACTTCGTGCCTGGACCTTAAGTGCCTTTGTTTTGAGAGGCAGTACCGTATTGTGGTAAAGGGCACGAGCTCTGAAGCCAAGGTACCCATGGACTTCCCGGTTCTGCTACATGCCCCGTAAGCTGGGGAGGCCGCCTGGTGTCTTTGAGCTGAGCTGCATTTTTTCCTTTGTAAAACTAGAGGCTTTAAAATACTTCCCTCAGGGTCGCTAGGAAGACTCTGCTGTGGGTTTTCCTTAATGCAGAGGTCTTAAAATGTTTTTTGGGGACATAGTTAAGCAGCTGATAATAAGTATTTATTTTAAAGTTCTTTTCCAGCTTAGAAATTGTTTCCAGTTGAGCTCATCTCATTTTAATATTTTACTTTTGTGCTAGCCGACTTAGCCCTTCATCTTCTCACCTGGAATGGGAGGCCCACAATAGTCAAATGATTCTCTCAATGAAAATTGTAGGTTTGGCTCTAAATACTTGTGAAACTAGGGACAAGTCTGACAACTAAAAGCGGCTGTCTTGTGCGTAGAGAGTTTAAGTGCCTTGACATGTGGTACTTGGGAGGTGGCCAGCATGCCGATAAGGTGCAAACTCGCTCTGTTCTGGATCCATGGTCATGGGATTTGTTTGTGACCCAGGAGTCTCCCTATAGATGTATGATTACCGCTTCTCCCATTTCCTCCACTTAGGCTGATGGGACACATAAAAGGTTTATTATTCTGTGTCAGTTCACCTTATAGTCCACACTTCAGCTTTGTGGAATCTAAAGACATTTTTCCCAGCAGCACTGGGATTCAGTGGATTTGCCCATATGTGTCTAATGGTACATTGACTCTTTTTTTCTAGAGACCAATCTGAGGCATACCTGTAAACGGATAATGGACATGGTGAGCAATCAGCATCCTTGGTTCGGAATGGAGCAGGAATATACTCTCATGGGCACAGATGGGCACCCTTTTGGTTGGCCTTCCAATGGCTTCCCTGGACCCCAAGGTAAGTCCCCCGGGTGAGATGTGAACCTCCTGTTCCCTAGTTGCTTCATTGCCAAGGAAAGACTCCCTCCCCAGAGCTGACAGTGACTCATTATGGATCAGAAAAGCTATGGGAATACCCTGAGGCTGACTGAAATAATATGGTAAAGAGCCCTCCCGTTACCCAGATCCGGACATGGATATTTAGACATTAACATGGAGGGAAACCCTTTGGGCTCCACTGAGGTTATGGTCAAGAGGAGCCCCCTGCATGCCACACCCCCACCTCCCAGTGAAGGCAGGCATAGTGATTCCAGAGAGCAAGTGTTGAGAGCTTTCTGATTTCTGACTTTTGTGAAAAGGGATTTTCTTGGTTTCCCATCTCTTGACCTCTCATCTTAATGCCTCTGCAGGTCCATACTACTGTGGCGTGGGAGCTGACAAAGCCTATGGCAGGGATATTGTGGAGGCTCACTACCGGGCCTGCTTGTACGCCGGCATCAAGATTGCTGGGACAAATGCTGAGGTCATGCCTGCCCAGGTAAATGACTTGTTCCTCTATAGGACGTATGGGCCAGTGGGGACTTTTGCTGGCACCCCTCGTTTACCCCGAACTTAGGTGGGCTGGAATAGAGGTGAGAAAAGAGCAGGGTTTGGAGCTTGTGAAGTGGGGTAAGAAGTGGGCATTATTTTAAAGGCCAGGCGTGTTGTTTTCTCTAGTGGGAATTCCAGATAGGACCCTGTGAAGGAATCGACATGGGAGATCATCTCTGGGTGGCCCGTTTCATCTTGCATCGCGTGTGTGAAGACTTTGGAGTGATAGCAACCTTTGACCCTAAGCCCATTCCTGGGAACTGGAATGGTGCAGGCTGCCACACTAACTTCAGCACCAAGGCCATGCGAGAGGAGAATGGTCTGAAGTGAGTGCCTTCTCCTGATGGGGCCATCTTCCTTTCTTTGCCAGCATACTTGCCAAGGGTTGGATGTGTTGGGGCTAATAAGTAAGCCGGACTTCTCCATTTGTACCTTAGCTTTTAGCACTTGGCTTTGAAAGTTGTCTTCTAATTCTCTTGTTTGTTCCTGTTTGAAGAGTATCAAAACATACTCTAGGAATAGAATCCAAGGATAGCGATTGGAAAGAGTTTGAAAAGAACTAATTTAAACGTGTTTGAAAATCTTCGGTATGAAATAACTTAGTAACAGTAAAAGCATGTGAATGAACTTAACCCTTCTGGGTGGGGCAGGGTCTTTGATTAGGGTCTTTTCATTCAACAAATACCATCTACTGAGCGTCCAGCACCCTTGTGAGGCATTGGGTGGGACACACAGGGAAGAAGGCAGAGTTGCTGCCCTCATGGATTATTTGATCAGTGGGGACAATGTTCTGGTGAATTGTGAACAGTCTTTGAGAGACGGGTCCCTCTATTCTTAGCTCCATACCTCTGCCCCTGCCGTTGAAGGGCAGATTTCCTAGTGCCAGGTTGGACCCTCATCTTTTCTCTTTCCTCTAGGTACATTGAGGAGTCCATCGAGAAACTGAGCAAGCGGCACCACTACCACATCCGAGCCTACGATCCCAAGGGGGGTCTGGATAACGCCCGGCGCCTAACTGGATTCCATGAAACATCCAACATCAACGACTTTTCTGCCGGCGTGGCCAACCGTGGTGCTAGCATCCGCATTCCCCGGACTGTCGGCCAGGAGAAGAAGGGTTACTTTGAAGACCGTCGCCCCTCTGCCAACTGTGACCCCTTTTCAGTGACAGAAGCCCTCATCCGCACATGTCTTCTCAACGAAACCGGCGATGAACCCTTCCAGTACAAAAACTAAACGGACTAGACTTGCAGCCATCAGACCCCTCCTAATTCTCCATCTTGCCCCCCTGTTTGCCCCTCTCTTGACTGTCCTAATAGCTGTAACTCAAAGGGCGGAATATCAAGGTCTTTTTTTATTCCTCAGGCCCAAGTTAATATCTCTTTGCTTTCTTTGGCCAGGATAGAGGGATCAGGTTCTTAATCTTTTCACAACCCGCCCCCCCCCTTTTTTTTCCCTGTCACTGAAGCTGTCTAGTAAGTTAGTGGGGAGGGGGTGGGGAGACATAACCACTGTTTCCATTTAATCAGGTGTGTTTGTCCAATAGGCGTAGCTATCCGGACAGAGCATAGTGTTTGTGAAGGGAGGGGGAGGGCTCTTTCTTCGAGGTAGCTGAGTGTTGGGGGACGGGGGGTTACTTACTCTGGGGTTAGGTTAGGATTTCCCCCTCTTGATAGGAAGTTCCACTTTGTGTAAGGTTATAACCAACTTTTTATTAAAAGTGAGACTTAGGAGAGAACCAGGCAGGAAAATGCACCTCTGTCCTGGTACAGTGCTCCCCTTAGCTGGGGCGAAATGGCCCTTCCCTGAAGACAAGCTCAGCATAAGGATGGATTGACCTTCCTTAGAAGAAAAAGTTCTTATTGCTTGGTCCTCCATTTATAACACAGCAGAGTAGTATTTTTATATTTAAATGTAAAAACAAAAAAAATTATATATATGGGCGTGCAGATATGTGTGGGTTTTTTTTTTTTCCCCTAAAGGAGGAGGAACATTCTGGTCACTGGGAGCCAAATTCGAGGTGAATAGTCTGGTTGGAAAGAAGGATCTCCTATTGAGTGGGGGTGAGGGAGGCAGTGCTTACAAAGCTGGCTATCTGGGGCTCTGCTAGTACCTCACTGCCACTGTAGGGTCCTCTGTGCTCTGCCCACTCTTCCGGGGCTAGGGGAGAGGGGCGTGGACACCGGTCAGGTAACAGGTGGAAGCACGTTGTGGACGGAGCAGTCGCCTGAGCCCAGTGGCTTTGGTTTAAAAGACACACATGTCCACACAGATTTAGAAATAAGAGTTGGCTGGTCAACTTGAGCATGTTACTGACAAGGGGGGTTATTGGGATTATTTTCTGGTGGGACTAGCATGTCACTAAAGCAGGCCTTTTGGTATATTAAAATTTTTTAAAAAGCAAAACCAGAAGTTTAGATTTTAATCCTGTTCGTAGGGTTTCTGAGTCTTTGTTTTTACAGAATTGCTTGTTTGCTTCAACTGTCTCCTTCTCATGTCCGCTTTATGAGGAGGTGGGTCCAGCCCTGGAGTTAGAACACATGGCATTTTGTATCCTGGTGTCTATTCTCTGAGTGTGAGATTCTCCTTTCCTTTGTTAAGATTCCTGAGGAGTTACTTTTTCTTTTATAATAAAAAGCAAACCCCACCTTCGTCCCTACATTTTCCCTCCTGTGTCTGGCTGTTTTCGTGTTCATGTTGGCTGCAGCAGGCCAGCCGTGGCTTTCTCTTGCCATGACGACTTCTAATTGCCATGTACAGTATGTTCAGCGTTAGGTAGCTCCCATTGTAAACAGACTGTTTTAACTGCCCAGCGCAGCTCTTATAAATCAACCTAACGTAAGATCTCTTCTGACTTGGTTCTTTGTGTCTTACATCCCTATGTGCCTTTTGTTTTCTGTCCTACCCAAAAAGAGGAATTTTTTTTTTTTTAAGAGACAGAGGAAGCTCAAGTTTCCTTGTTCTAGGAATTTTTAAAAATCTATCCTGAGTCACGTTGCCAACCAGCTCTTCCCTGTTATTTGGGTGTTTGGAATCTCAGGATGAAGGCATATCCCAGCCCTAGAGTTTAGTAGGAGGGTACAAACCCCGACCCGACCCTCCTTGTGCTCCAGACCTTGGCTTTGATCTACAATGCTGTAACATTGTCTTCAGCACCCCTCTGGCTTAATTTTATAGCAGCCTGAAATATTTCAAAGGCTTCTTAGTATCCCTACTGGTGTTTTTTTTTTTTTTTTTTAATGTGGGGAAGTTTTTTTTTTAATATTTTATTTAATCATTTGGGACACAGAGATACAGAGCACACGTAGGGGGAGAGACGGAGAAGAGGCTTCCCATAGAGCAGGGAGCCCAACGTGGGGCTCGATCCCAGGACCCTGAGATCATGACCTGAGCCGAAGGCAGGCGCCCTTCCCTACTGGCCTTGATTTCATCCTTACCCACCTGCCAGTGGTTCTTCTAAACAGCACATGTTGACCCTGTGGCTATGCTGGTTGAAACCTTCCGAGGCTGGCTGTGTTCAGGGCCAGCTAGCCCAGATAGGCCTTGGACGTGCCTTTCCTGGAACTAGCCCAATGAGCTGCTCAGGATTCCCCCAAAAGCTCCAGGTGACACCTCTGTGCCCTTGTTCTTGGTCATTTTACCTGGAAGTTAGTTCTCCCACCTCACCTGGTTTATTCCTACCTTAGTTCATGTCCATGCCAGGCCAGGTAAGAGCGCCCTTCTCCATAGTGCTGTGCATGTACCTCTAGCCAAAAGCACTAGTCATCCAACGCTTTAACCTAATGTGCCAGGTATTGTGTGCAATAGTAATTACTGTCTTTAAAAGGTACTGTCCTCTATCAGTTTGGAAGTAGGTGGGTCCTGTCACAGCAAACTTAGAGATCACCATTTTCTTTAGGCAAGTGTGTATTTTGCTCTAATTGTAAGCAATCTTAGATACTCATGTTTTGTTTGTTTGCCTAGGAAGGTTGGCTCCCCACATTTTCAAAGTAGGATGATCTTACTGGTTTGCTGGGTATGATCCCAGTTTATACTGGTTATTTCAGCATGATTATTAAGAGTGCCGTCTGTCACTCAGCATTCTCTTGGTTTTGCTGATAAATTGTGGGGTGTTCTTTCTATTGAAGCTGTACTTCCCTCTTCGCAGCTGAAATTGGCTTCCCTTCACTGGAGTACCCCTTGCAGTCCCTGGGGTTGGGGGAGGGGGGGAGGAGGAGGAGGAGATGTCATCTGCAGCACAAGCACTAGATCGAGGCAGTGGCCTGAGCAGAGTTCCCCAGCAAAGATTACATGAAAAGGAATTCTAAATTAATGTGATCAGACTTAGCTGGAAATGAGTTTATTTCCTTCTCTACCCTCGCAGCTAGAATTAGCTTTGACCCACAGGTCGCAGGGCAATCCCCTTGTATTTCTAAGGTTTTTTTTTTAATTTTTTTTTTATATTTCATTTAACAGACACTGGGTTACCTGATAAGTTATCAGTGATAGATTAAGCAGAATGGCGGCCAAGCCTGCAGCCTTAAAGAGACAGGCCAGTGTTCACAAAAGGAGTTCTCCATTTTAAACGTGAGTTTCCTTAATATCATCCTGCCAGTTACTGGGTAGGAACTGAATGATGGCACAGGCTAATAGAGGAATGTCAGGGAGCAAATGGAGGATTCCACGGCAGTCCTTGGATGGTCACATTGGGGCCATTTAACAAGCCGGATCTGTGCTCCTGGGTGGGATCACACAGGAGTATGGAAGTTCCTGAACACACCCGTGGCACCAAGACTTCACCTATCTCACCAAAGGCTTCTCTTAGCTAATTCTAGCTATTGCTCGGCCCTCACGCCAATAAAGTCAAGTCTAGAAAGTAACTTGCTATCCTAAAGAAAGCCCATCGCTCAACAGGACTTTTTGATTATAAACTTCAGGAAGGCAGGGTCCTGGTTTTCTCAGCACTATATCCCAGTCCTGTCATCGTGCCTGAAGGACTTGCTTAATTAACTATTTTTAAGTATCTGTTTTGTGAGTTCTAAGCCTTTGGCTCTATTGGTGACATCGAACCCATGAGGTCTCGGTGGTCTGGGGGTGTTCTAACCCAGGTCATGGTACTGAAATTAAGTTCTGTTTTCGTGACCTTAAACAACTGCTGGCTTGGTTCACTCTGGCTGGAGTCAGGCTGCCAAGAGCCTTGTGTTGCTTTACTAGTTATAACTAATATAAAGTGGCAATTCATTACGTAAGTCCAAAGGCTTCAGGTAAATTGCAACCGTAAACAGATTTGAGCTGACTAGAACCCTGCCGTTTTATAGCTGTCAGCTCAATCACCAACCACTCATTTAAGAAAATGTCATACTTGATTTTACGATATGCAGATACACGCACATTCACATATCCTGTGACAGGCCTACACCATATTTGGACATGCATATATGTACACGTGAGACACGCAATACAGGCACCCTACATGAACCTGTTCCCCAAGACACAACATCTTATGAAGGAGACAGGAACTTAGGAGTATCTCTTCTAGAAGGAGCCCACCCTCAGGAGAATTCACTGGGCTGATAAGCTGTCACTAGGAGCAGGACGGCCGGCCATAAGTCTTCAAGCATGGTTCCGCCACCAACCCTTTCTCTGCTTCATGGGTAGGAGATTTTCAGGCACTGTCAACTTAGAAGTATTTGTCTATGGTGCACTGCCCAGAGCCCTCTGATGTCAGGAGCTGTTGTCCTAGTCCCGCTTTACCGAGGAGTGTTGGTGTGGTTCCTACTGCCATTTCATGAGTTGTTTTCTGGGGGCCTTGGACCTCAGCAAATTGTCCTCTTTCTCATGGATTTCAGGTTGAGGTACTTGCATTGTCTTGAGATGGCAGCTTGTCTCAGTGTGCTCAGCTCCTGCACCCTATCTATGGCCTCATCGGCAGACCTGTGCACTTCCCTCCAGCAGGCATGTGCTCACGAATCTAAACTCTGCCTGGAAGCCTTTCTGCGTTTGCCTTTCAGTAAAAGTTCAGAGTAACTTCTTCCTTGTAACTATTATACGTCTATTATATTGACATTAAATGGAAGAGGCGTTCAAGATACCTCCAAAATTTGATAGGCACTATTTGGGGTATTTTGGTGCAAGCACATAAATGAAGGGATCAAATCAATGGAAATTGTTCTCTTTCTCTTATGCCCTCCTCTTCTTACAGGTAAAAGAATGTCATTGGCATCACCAAGCAATATGGGACTTCTGGTCCTATCACTACGTATACTAGCTTACCCTCAAATGATTTTGCAAGCTGTTTTGATAACTCAAATAATGTTATGTATACAGAAGTACAGTATTATATTGGTAGAGGGGAGAGAGGAGGATTGTTTTTTGTTTGGAAGAAACGAACACTTGTCTCTGGGAAGGAATCTGTGATTTGTTAGGAACTAAGTTTAGAGAGACAGTACTGTAGGCGTATCTACTTCTCCAGGTCTTTCTTTAGAAGAGGTCATAAAATTAACATATTGGAATTCTCCCCCAAAGAACCTACCACCAGACTCATTCCTAGGTGGGCTTAGGATCCAGAACCGCCGACTTAGAAACATTTTTATATAACTATATTATGACCTAGCCCACTATAGGTACTTAGCCAAGTAAGCCTTCAGTAAATGTTTGTTGAATTAGATAATTAGAGAAAAGTCACTACCAATATCACTGGCTAGGGGAAGTGGATAAAAGCCTGGGGCAGGGTAGGGGGCAGTTTATTCACAAGCGTCACTCTTAGGTGCTAATGGCTTGTGTATGAGTTGCCCCACTGCTGCAGTTAATCCCAAAGTACCTGGTCCAGAAATATCTTCTCCCTCTTCCAAAATGCAGAGCCTTTTGGGGTGATCGCCCCAATTGCTATATCCTGGTAGCAGCTGAGTCTTCCAGGTTATTCTCTTCCCCTCAGGAAGGGATGAGATTCCTTCCAGATTTAGAATTCTGT